TTAAATATTAACATCAAAAAGTGGAAATATAAAAAAAATAAAGTAAAACATGTTTATAAAATTAAAATAATAACACTTTCATAAACATTAATAAAATAATGTTACAAAATATAATTATCATAATATATTTTGTTATTATTATTTATTATTATAAATATTATTGTTTTTATTTTTATTAATATTAATATTATTATTTATTATAATTAGTATCATTATTATTTATTATGATTCTTATTATTTTTCTAATATTTATTATTATTCTTATCATTATTTATTATTTTTTTAGTAAATAAACCCTATTAATATAATTTTATTGTAATTATTATTAATTACAATAAATAATATTATACTCATTTTTAATCCAAGGGTAAAAGTGTAAATTATATATTCATCTCTTAAATTTTTATTTTTTATCTATCATTAAATTTAAAGCAAATATTTAAATTAATTTATTTTTAAATTAATTTTTTATAATTTTTTTAGTTAAAATTTATATATTTATCTTTTAATTATAATAATTATAAAAAAAATTTAACCTAAGGGCAAAATAGTAATCTTTCACAACTATTAATTAAAAAATCTATTTTTATCTATCACATCAATCAATTCATTCACAAACTTTCACAAATTTTCTCTACACTTTCCACTCACTTTCCATTAATCCAATCAACCTCACTTTTCACTCACTTTCTCTTCAAATCCCTCCTTTTCCACTCTCCCTTTTCCATTCTCAAATCCAATCAAAGCCTTAACGAATGGAAACTAAAATATTAAATTAAAAAAAGAATTTGTCAAGTAATTAAATTTTTTTTAATAGGTAATAATTTAAAAATTGGTTAATTAAAGATAATTTGAACGTATTTAAACATTTATTTATTAAATAATTTGGATTGGTTATTATTTATGTAAATGACCCGTTTTCTTAGCCAAATTAAGAAATTAACTTTTGAGTAATTGATTTTTCAACTAAATTTTTTATTTAATCACCTAAAAAAAATTGGATTTTTTTTTAATTTTTGGTCCATCTGGATTTTTTATTTAATCACCTAAAGAAAATTAGATTTTTTATTTTTTATTTTTGGTCCATTGAGAAATCGATTACCTAGAAATTGATTTCTCAATTGTACCTTTTTTTCTTTAGTTTTTTATTTGTTTTCTATTTTATAAAATTTAAAATTAATTTAATTTAATTTAAAACTCAGAATTAGAAAATTATTTTGAATATTTATATATTAAATATTATAATTATATATTAAATATAAAAATTATATTTAATATTCAAATTTTATGTTA